GCATGCCACATCCGCTCTATCACGTGATGCATACTGCTCCGACGTGCTAACGTTCTGAGGCGAGTTACGGCGTGTTGCAAGTTTTGTGAGGTGCTTTCGTGATATTTAATGGATCGGATTACATTTTTTATTTTTCTCCGATCCAGTAATTTAGGTCAGTATCAGACCGATACCGATACGTAATATCGGATCGGTCCATCTCTACTCTGTAAGCTGAGGCAGTTAATGTGCAAAAGAAGACATGGGCAGTGTATATCTGGTAATGTAGCATGAGTTAGCAGGAAAGAATTCAGTCTGGTGCTGCTTTTAAAGCTCTTGTTCCTGTTGTTTAAATATGCTATAGACTAAATAAAATAGACATGACAGTCAACACGAAAAAGACTGAGACATTAGACAATACTGCATGTTTGAGGTACCAATTTACAAATTTAAATATATGTATTTAACACTATTCAGTGGTTCACATACTGAACTTAGAAGATAGAAGCTAAGTATCGATCCTAATGAGCTAGTATTGATTTGGCACCGATACCAGCATTGGTGTCTATACTATCAATATTTGGATTGACCTTCCCAGCTATAGCTTTCACTTGCTAGGGGGAGATTCAGAGATAGGTTCTGATTAGTCAGCATTAATGTTCTTTTAAAAAAAACTATTTCACTAGCTGGGCCCACGTCCTCATTTTAGGATTGACAGCGTTTTAGTAGGTAAAGGTGAACGCTTGGACATGAATTGAGCTGCGGTTTGGGGAAGGCCTCAAAGGGGACTGGCGACGGATCCCGGGCCTGGCAGATCCCCATGTACTAAATAGAAGAGAAGAAGTTAAAGAATTGAGAACAACGAGGGAGGGTGGGGCACGTAAACGAGAATGAACAGTTTGCAGATCTGGGGTAACCTATATAGATGGCAAAAGGAAGGAGCGTGTTTGGAGGCGTGGTCCCGCTCCTGAAATTCAGATACATAATCTCCAATTAATGATGTAAATACAGATCTATCCAGGGCCTCCCCCTCTTTTACCCTGTGACAGCTGGGATAAGCTTCAGCCTGAATGGATACTGAATTGAATAAGCGGTTGAGAAAACGGATGGATGGATAATGTGAATATAGTAAGTCATTAGCTTTGCATGGCTTGGGATGATCTGATACATTTTACATACATTCATACATTCTAATTAATGTTGCTGCACTATTTTTTTGTGTCAGAATATCTAAAGCTGTGAGATTTGTGCAAAAAGGCTGCAGATTCTTCAAATAACCTGCACAGCACTGATTAATGCTCTTGACCTGATGCAAGGACAGTAAGACTAAAAAGATCCATGTCAGCCTCTGGCTCTGTTTTTGTGCTGCATGCTGAGCAGCGGACAGATTTTCCCATACTAATTAGGCTGCAAACCTGCCACCCAAATCAGCACTTGGAGAACACTTCTGAGAAAAAATATAATAGCGATATCAAATGGGATGGCTCAGAAGTTTGCTTATACCCCAAAGGAACGTGACAGGTTTTATTATTCCCGTTCTTGATGTCCCACTTATTAGATATTAATCATTAAAAGCTTCTCCGCCTCATCATTGGCCACCTGAGTAGTTTCTCCCAGGACTACATCTACAGGAAATCTGCTACCGCCGACTCACTTTTCCACCCGGTGGCCAAACTGTAGGAGAGAGTCTCATTGTGCTGCCTCCCACCACGGAAATGAAACACAAAGTAACACTTCCCATCAGCCTCCAGAGGAGAAGTAACAGGAACGATTCTTCCCTCTATTTCTGTTTCTCTCTCTTCTCCTCCTCACTGCTGGTTTCCATTACCTGGGGCTTCTGCTTGTTCACCCTGACAGTTACTTTTTTTTGGACAAGTATCACATACCCACAGCTGTACAGACACACACAACCAAACAACCAACTGTCTCTAAAAGCAGTCTTGGTTGGCACATTGCGTTGTTCTGGGGGCTGCTAAGAGCTTGGCTTCATGCCTTATTCATCCCTCAGGCCTATTCTTTCCACCAGTGCAGAAGAATTTAGGAGGAGGAAAGCTGTCCGGCACCTAACACACTCACCAACAGGATAGAGGTCAATCTGATAACTTCTGGGCAAAAAAACAAAACAAAGAAGAAAATCTTTTATTTCTTACTGCTTGTCTTCTCTCATCTACTGTCTGTGTATTTTATGTGTGTTTAAAGTGAACTTGACAACAGGAAATTTCAGGGTCTATATCAAGCCTGTGAAATTTTTAGAAACGATAATGTCATAAAACCAGAAAGACAACACTAACTGTAGCTGAGCACTCCTACTCACTTTGGATGTGACAACAGAAATCAGACTGTACATGCTGCTGGCACGTACAATCTCACAATCCTTGTCTTTTTGTGTTTTTTACACAAAGATTTTTCCCTTCTGTCCTCATTTTTCTTGAAATGTGTGTCACTGTATTTTCCCTAATAAAGACACAGATAGATTGTAGATTGTGGGATATGTTACAGTGACACTGGGGAAAACTGGTTTCAGACAATGGCATGACTAAAATTATTGTGAATGTTTGCAGTGAACTTGCAATGTTGTTGCATTTGAATGGGTGTTAGGACGTGGTCTGCTCATTCACAGTCAGGAGAAGGTGCTAAAACTGCAACAAGACAGAGTCAGTCTGTTTAATTCTCATTAAACAGAAATGAAAATATAGTCCAGCCAGAAGCTCATAGACCTGAAACAGAAATTCAGTAGTAGTTGCTGCAGGACAACAATTTAACTGCAAGATGACATAGGTGCTCTGCAGCCTTGCGTTTATATAGGAATATAACAAAAATACAACCAATTTGCAGCTAGTGTAGTCAAGTTTCCTGTTGCAAAGAGAAAGATCAAATACTAGTTGCCCTCATTGCACAGGTTGACTCCGAAGAATTGCATAGTGTTGGCAATCTGTCTGTGGTTAGAAATTAGAAGGCAGTTATTTGCAAATGTTCCCAAATTGCAGTCAGTCTAAGCTGGCAATGATTGTGATTCTGTCCACTTGCAATCCAAAGTGGTTGCTCAACTATTTGCAGTTGATTGCTGAATGGAAAAAAACAACAACCAAAAAAGGAATAGTTCAACAATTGTGTAAAACCTCCTTACAACCCAGTGCTTTGCAAAGACTGGAAGCAGCAGAAATAACTGGCAAAACCTACTATTCACACTATTCACAGCTCTATGATTTCTGCAGTCTCTACAAACAAAAGAAACACATCCAAATACACTATATGTTCTTCCCAGAAATTAAATTGTTTACACTCATTAAATCGCGATCTTGAATAAACTGTATTGTCTGGGTAATGTTGTCTGTCTCTACAACTAGCTTTGGTGGGTTGTTGTGGCTTTATGCCAATATTGTACCAGCTATGCATTTGAAACAGTATTTCTGGGATTTTATTACATAAAATTCCTGGGACATGTGTAGACCACTCTGTTGTGCAGTTGGTTCATCCATCCATCCATTCGCGTCCGCTTATCCTGTTCAGGGTCGCAGGGGGCGCTGGAGCCTATCCCAGCTGTCATAGGGCGAGAGGAGGGGTACACCCTGGACAGGTCGCCAGTCTGTCGCAGGGCCAACACACAGAGACAGACAACAGTTCGCACTCACATTCACACCTATGGGCAATTTGGATTAACCAATTAACCTATCCCCACTAAGTGCATGTCTTTGGACAGTGGGAGGAAGCCGGAGTCCCGGAGAGAACCCACGCAAACACGGGGAGAACATGCAAACTCCTCACAGAAAGACCCCGGCCTGATGGTGGAATTGAACTCAGGACCTTCTTGCTGTGCGGCAACAGTGCTAACCACTGTGCCACCGTGCTGCCCGCAGTTGGTTCAATTAAATTTTATTTATATAGTTCCAGTCTATAACAGCAAAAATCTGCAGGTGATATAAATAGAAGACACTCAACAATATTAGATAGAAAACAAAGTGTTTAATGACAAAGGGAAGGAAGAAATCCCTTTAAACAGACAGAGACAGCAGAACCAGGCTAAGGGACGGGCAGTCCTCTCCCATGAGGGGAAAAAGATAAGGGGAAAAACACGAGGACAGAGAGATAAGGAACTCTTCTCAAAACTCTAGGAACCACAACTAAGCCTGAAGTGTGAGAGCCAAGTGCTCTATTAGAATAATAAGGTACTACAAGGTCTTTAAGATATGATTATTCAGGACGTGTGCAAAGATTTTACATTCAATCCTAAATTTAACAGGGAGCCAATGAAGATAATTTAACATGGGAGAAATATGATCTCTGCACTTCTTAGACAAATGAGCAAAATCATCAAAAATGACCTATTCTGAGAAAATCTTTGTGTGTTTCTCACTCTTATATATATTAAATCTTTAGATTTTGTGCAAATAGTATGAATGAAATGTATGACAGGCACGCTTTTCCCTTTTAAAATTCAGACTGCAATAATGCAAAATAATATTTACTCACAGTCAGTGGCAGAACGTCAGTAAAAGGAAGACAAATGAATACATTTATTTAAAAAATCGAATGTAAATGATGGCTCACAGCATGGCTGGTGAGCTCATTAGAGTAGGTGTACTAATGTTAGGGCTTTGGGTACAATCTGCTCTTAGAGTTTGCAACAAAATAACAATAGAAGCATATGAAATAACAGCAAAAAAAAAGACATCAAAGAAAGCTTCAGATCTATCCAAAGCTCGTTTGTCCTGAATAGATTTTACTTAATCTTGCACTCTGGGCATGACCTCAGGGCTGGCAAGCACACTCATCTGACTTACTCTCTCTCTCTCTTTCAGGATAAGGAGGCAGAAAGTTGGGCCTGTTCAGGGGGATGTTCAAAGAAACAAAGAGAGGGATGGCCGTGGAGGAGAAGCCGGGTGTGAAGAGCAGCAGCTCCATCGTTCCCTGCTTTCTGTTTGTGGAGGTAAGCAGTATGGACATGCTGATGTATGGCTTGCAGTTTCTGCACTAATCCTGTGTTACACTAGGAAGGAAAACGGTTTTCAATAGAACTGATGAAATCACCAGAAAACTCCTCACCTCACTTTGCAGATCATGCAAAAAGCTTGACCAAATCTCCTGTTTCATGCTGACTCCAGGTTTATCTCTGAGATTGCCCGTCGTGTTAGCGAGGAGAGACCTGAGAAGTGACTCACTATTTAACGCCCAGCTTTAAGCGCTTTCATCTCTTTACATCCCTACAGTCTCAGCCTCAGCGGTAACATTTTTTCAGGCTCTCAACAGTGGAGTTTGGGACAGCTCAGCAAATTGCTGACATTCTCACTTTGTGTCACGCGCTCTGCTCTGTTCCAGCACCAGGGGAAGTGGTGGCTTGGTAAAGTGGCTACAGTTGTTCTGTGGCATGCTGAGGTTTTTTCCAGCACATTTGTGAACTGCATGATTCATCGAGGTAGTTCTAGATGTCACAGCAGAGACATAGTGGATTTTCAGCTGATGTACTGTAGGATTAAGGTTTGGGCACACCAAAGGTCATTTTTTGTGGCAGGCTGAAAATTTTCAAAAAAACACGCTAACATGCATGGACACACACACTGCTACATCCCTTGTGGAAAGGGTGCTCTACATTGTTTGTGAGAGCAGTCAGACAGATGACTCAGAGGGCTGTGGAAGTCCCAGAGCTTTCACCCATTTGAAACTGAGGTGGTGAAAAGCACAAACTGGTGAGGTAATCAGACGATCTGCAATCTAATTAGACAAAGCTAGCGGTCCTGAAGCTCACTGGCTTCAGCTAAGCCAACCATCAGCTTTTTAGGGAGCAGTCTTTGCAGTTAAAGCATTGTTCTGTTACAGATAAGAGAAGCTGTTTGCACCATTGCTTTCCAGGTGCAACCACAGCATCCTTTTGGATTTAAACATTAGGATTCTGTTTAGTGTTGACAATACATGTGCAGCGCACAGTGTATGTGCTGGATATAATTTGCACTTTATCTGCAGATGGGTCTCATTAAAGGAAACTTTGAACTAGGTGAAGTTTTTGAAATGAAATGCACCTCTCTAGAGGACACGGCAGAGTCGAAGAGTGAAGAAAACACAAAAACAGACATGAGACAAAACACAGTATGTGAGGTGAAAAAGACTGACAGATGCTGTTTTTCCAAAAACAAGTTATGTCTTGTTTTGCCTGCTGATATCTGTCAAAATTCATCCTTTCCTGCAGGCATAACTCAGTCAGATCTAAACACACCCTCATGATGCACATTTTCAATTCAATGTGACAGTGTAATACAGTACTAGTACATCTCAGAAAATTAGAATAGCACAAAAGGGTTTGCTCCTTATAATTGAATTCAAAAATTAAACTTTATCACATTCTATACGTGCACTGCATGTAAAGTGAAATATCACTTTATGTGTGAAATAAGTGAACTCGTAATCCCAGTATGTTAGAATATTTCAATATCTCATAAAAATCAACCAAAAAAGGATTTGCGATGCAGAAATGTCCAACTTTTGAAAAGCTTGTTCATCCATACACTCAATGGGTGTGTTAGAGATCTGTTGTTTTCCTTTCTTCAGCTGTTAGTGCATTCATTGTTTTATATGTGGATGCAAGAGTAAGAAATAAAGGGGGATCCTGGTGTCCTTTTGCTGCCCTTTATCTGAACAGCTCAGCAAATTTGCGCTGTGCACCTTACTGTACCAAACTGTTTCAAAGGGGGACCTGAATAATGTAGTTACACTAGCCAACTCCTTCATCCAATGAAACACTGGTGTCTTTGGTTATAATACACTCTAAAAGCTCTCCATTAGGCCACTCCGCCATATACCTCCCACACACTGGTGCTCAGCCCTCAGGTCTCAGTCAATTCCCTTGCTAACTCTTCATCTATGTGTGTCTGTATGTGTATGATTGCACTGTGATAGAGAAGCCTGGCAAGTAATCGAGTTGAAAGAAAGGAGGCCAGCAGCTGTTACCTGTAGAGGCAGAGTAGTGAAAAAAAAGGGTTTCTTTGGCATGGCAGAGAAGCTTAAGGCTTCTAAAGCTATTATTTTATATTTATATATATCAAATTAAGCAACGTTTAAACAATAGAATGATTTAAATCTTGTATGGCACAGTTGCAAAGTTATGAGCTATTAGCCAAATTCATTACTGCATTGAAAATTACAATACTGGTGGAGCACTAATGAGGGACAGCAAACGGATTGTTTGCTAAGTCCTGCCTCCATCTAAATTCTTGAACTGTTAATTCTGTATTTAAGAATAACTGGCTCCCCATTTATGGCAACTATTGGTAGCAGAATTAATCCACCGCTGCAAGCTAGCTAATTAAGCTAACACTGTAATATTAAACAGGACTCACTTTGACACACATGTGAAATACTATATTGTAGATGTGGACCATTTAACATAACTTGAAATATAATAAACTAATGAAGACAGTTTAATCATGTGGTCTTTTCACCGTGTTAGTAATGATTGGTCACTGATGTAGGGAGCATAGCATAGCTAGCAGTCTTGGGGAAGCAATTTTGAATTGGTACTTTTCTATACTCCTAGTTACTTCACTCAGACATCCTGTGCTTAAGTAGAAGTACAGATACTAGTGTTAAAACATACTCCAGTAAAAGCTGAAGTACTGAGTTAACTTCTATTCGAGTAAAAGTGAAAAAGTACGGGCTCTCCCCTCCCCTCAAACGTGTCAAACCGAAAGTAATGAGCCTGTTTTAAAAATGAAAGTAGAGATATTTGTTTAAAAATGTAGGAAGTAAAAGTAAAAAGTTGTCAGAAAAATAAATACTCAAGTAAAGTACAGATACCTGAAAATTCTAGCTAAGTACAGTTCGTTACCTCCCACCTCTGTTAAACATACTATTTTAGGCTACTAATACATGGCGCCTGCTTTTTCTTTTAATTCTCTTTATTTTCGTCTTTCGATTGTTGATTCTCTATTTGTCTTCACAGTTTTCTTACTTTACTTGTAGCCAGTTGAGTTTGCCCAGATTTACTTTTCTGCCAGAATGAGAGCTGTTTGTTTGTCTTCTCCATGACTGAGCATGGGTAAAGAAAGATCCAATTGAGTTTTGGGATGGATATGAATTTCTTTGTCTATAATTGCAAAACAGGGCACAGGTCTTGGAGGAGAATGTGTTTTCTAAAAATCTTTCTTGTTTTGTTAATTTTCCGTCTGTTTAATGTTTTCGAATTTTTCCCCTGGATTCACTGAGTTTCATTATGTCTAAAGCATATTGAAAAAGAAAACAGAAAATAACTGCATGTATGTATTTGTGGTTGTCAAGCTACAAACAGACTTTTGTTATTTGGAAAAGAAGTTTGGGGATTTTTTTCCTTCTTTTGACTAGATTGATGTGTTTTGTTTGATGATGATCTTTCTGTAAAATGGCAATGGAAATGACATGGCAGTGGATGATCTACTAAAACATTCATCCCTGATAAATGGTAATACTAGATGCAGAAATACTCTAGAGATAAATAGTGTTTACAAGTCATTCTACAGTTAGACATACCCTTACAACAGACTTATATTGATGCAAGTTGGAAATCACAGCACTGAGTCACTGTATAAACTGGGTTGTCTCATTACTGATACTGTTGCTAAGCAGACAGAAAACATCACAGAGCTTTTTTTCTCTCCCACTGCTTTTTAAGGGTCGAATTTCTTTTGAGGCATCAAAGTTGTTTTTTTTTTTTGCAGAACAGTGGTTTTCTAACTCTTACGTCTAAAATATGGCATTAGAAGGTGCCTTCTAAGCAAGCAAGGAAAAAAAAACTTACCAGAGTTTTCTTGCCCAAACTTCCATATATTATGACAGCTGCCTGTGTGGTTTAAATTCAAAAACACAGCTACAATAACAAACCCATTGTTAGTTCAAAGAGTCCAAGTTACATTCATAATTTTACCTGGATGTTTTCCATGCATTCAAGTTCCCAACCCTGGAGCTTCTCACTGTAAATTGACAGTGTTAACTATTGAGCCTCTACACTGCCTTAAATAACATTACATTATTGATTGTGAGGTGCTTTAGCAGTTTATGTTGCAGGGGATGATTCTTGGAGATGACTGCATATTCTGTGATTGTCAAGGGTTTGTGTTGCTACTTCTCTGGATACTACAAGCTGCCTATAGCATTTAGTAATGTGACATGGACATGCAAATGAAATCAACAGACACTACAGATTTCAACGGCTCTTAGCCAAGCAAGAGGTACGAGCATGCTTCCAGAGACAACAGCCAACTGTGACTGAAAGGATAAATTCAAACAGGAAGAATTCTTGATGACAGAATGTAATTTGAAATGCAAGGACAGACCTCACTCTTACTTTGGTAGGTTTTAATTCATGTTTATTCTTAGTTGTCACTGGGCAACTGCTGCTCACCATGCTTACCTTCACAGGATACTGCTGCCATCCTGTATCCCAGTTTATTCCAGTTCATGGTGAATTTAATTCCTGTCTGAAACTGAAGAAAAAAAAAAAAAGAAAGAAAAGACAACAAATAAATTCTTAATTAATTACTTCAAAAATAATGAATGATAATGATTACCAGCCATGGTGAGTAACCACAATTATTGCTACAGTGCCTAATCTGCTTACTGACCCATAGGAAGCAGTGTGAGCAAACTACAGTTAATATTTCACAAATAGGTTTCCCGCCAGGAGTTGTTTGGCTGGTTAGTTGGGAAGTAGTAGTTAGTCACTAACCAGTCATAGAAAAATGGATAAACAGAAATACTGAGGCCTTTGATAAATGAACAGAAACTTGTAGCTTTAAAAGCATTTTCAGATTGGATTTAGCTAACTAACACACCATTGAGAAAGGGCTTGCTATGGGCAAAGTAAAAGTTCTTTAATACCAGAAATATTTTTTGCTTTTACACCTACTGCTTCCTAAAGGCAACAAAGAAGAATTCATGTTTAAGGCACTTCCCCATTGTTTTCAC